TTATTAGTTATGTAAAAACCGCCCTTAATTTCAACGTTTGTTAAACATTATTGAATATATTTTCTTTTTATTGAAAACCAACCTCGTTTAATGTGAGTTAAAATCAAATTATTTAACACCAGAGGGACAAAGGAAGTTGAACTAAATGTCAGAACTAACAAAGTATTATGTATGTACAATCATAGAGGGCTTGTTTAGTATAGTTTCTATATGTATGATATGTAGGACGTTAGAGAGACAAGTTTTGATTTTTGATCGTAATATAATAAGTTTATTTCAATAATGGTTGACTGCACTCAAGAATGGATGTATAAAATAGGAATGACGTGGTTTCTTAATTTCATAACGAAATATATTAAACTAATTGGAGATCACAGAATGTATGAGCATGTCGATATGAAAGCGCCATCTCTTGGAAATATTAAACTATATGTACTTCTGCAGGGTCCCCGAATGTGTTCTGTTTCAAGAGTAAATAAAACCAAAATTAAGAGTAACAAATATTTTTATTTCTTGCTTTGGAAGTTCATATGTCACGCTGTGTTGTAGCCTACAGAGTGTATAATTATTCTCCTCATTAATGGCATGCGCACGTTTTACTGACGTCATGACAGTACAAATTGCAACGTCCCTTACGTGACATAATTTAGTACCTACTGGCTGACTGACAGACAACATACTGCTGTATAATGGTGCGATTGGTTAAAACAGGTGACTTCTCCAGGCAGTCTTCGGCTGGAAACGTGATTACAATAAATTATATTTGTTATAAGTTTGTTTGTAATTAAGCACAAAGCTACACAATGGGTTATCGGTGCTCTGCCCATTACGGGTATCGAAACCTGGTTTCTAGCAGTGTCAGTCCGCAGGCATACCGCTGTGCCACTGGGGGCATTTGTTATAAGACAACAGTATTGAGCTTCCTGTGTTTTCTTTGATCGGAGCCTTACGATGTTTCCGAAAATTATATTATTTCAACCACACCATATGCGTTTCTCTAAATAGCAGAGCTCATATATATTTGAAACATGTAGAACAAGCAAAAGTACCCGTCCCCAGTGACGGGAAAAACTTAAATTAATCTATCAATTTAAATTATTTCATGGACTTTAGAAAAGTTAATTGTGTTACACTCTTGGTTCGCTCACAGCTACTTATACCGCCCATCGCGACAAGTAATTGTTGAGCATTTCAGTCATGCTAAGAGCTGCTCAACAATAACATTCTTTAAGTTACGTCACATTTGAAATAATGAACGATGATGTGATTAATTCCTAACAACTTAGTGTAGAATATCCTGCTAACGAAATATTTTACATCAACATTATTCATGCCTGTTCTCCCATCATTTCAAACGTAAACATTAAGCTATGCCTGCTTCCTCAGTTTTTCAATTGGGAGACAGACGAACGCTAGGGGCAGACACTACTGTTCTCATAATATATATACACACACACACACACAAGATATGAATATAGTAAGTAGGGATGACGAACTGGACCCAAATATGGTGAGTAAAGGTATATATATACATATATGGATGTTTTGGGTTATCCTGTATTTCAAACATACAAATAGAACAAGTATATGGTATCTTATCAGAAGTAATTATAAAGTTTGTGAACATTGTACCGCCATCTGTTGTCACTGTGAAGTAGTTTTCATTAAGTTTATTTACTTTTTTTATGAATATGGAAGTACATACACAAACATAACTGACAAATCAGATAAGTTAAATCACGCTTAGACTAATGAACATTTGGACCACTATTTGATAAAAAATAACAGTTTCTGCCAGTCCCTGTCGTTTTTCAATTTTTTTCACTAATCTACAAAACTGAACAATATATCAATTGGAATTTTGTCACATACAAAATTAATTAATTTATTGCACAAGAGTAATTTCCATTCAATTAAGTACAGAACTCTGTACAGTGTAAGTGTATAAAATATTGTGTATTTTGAAGAGATTCCATTAATATATAGAAAAGTTAATTTGTCAATCTTTGTTCTCATCCATAACAGTAATGTTTGTGTGTAGACTGTAGAATTATAGTTTAAAACAGTGTGAGGAACTTGGTTTATTGTGGGGGGGAAAACATGATCGGTATTGGTACTGTATGATTCTGTTTAAACAAAAGTCGAAATTTAACAGCTTCTTGATACGCTGTAGGTGTCATAAGTGGGGAGAGAATAATACTATCCCCTCACATTTGTTTACCTCAAATCGGGCTATCCGCTGTATCCACCGAGGGGAATCGAACTTCTAATTTTAGCAGTTTTAGGGGGGGGGCAAATGAAGTAGAAGACAGACCAATGTTCTGTCAAAAAATGTAGTATATATCCCCCCCCTAAATAACCACTTCATTATGTTTGTCCATTTACTGATAGCTTAATGTGCTCCCGTACACAAATAGCAGTCCAATTTGACTGAACCCCATTTATAATACAGAGATGAAAGTGTCCCTTTCCTAAAAATCCTGAAAATAATCGAAGCCAAGTAGGGGGGGGGGGGCCCCCAAAATCCTGCATTTTGATGCTTTTTAGTATTTAAAATTCACTTAAACAAGTTACCCCATTTGTCTTACATCAATGATTAACAAATACATGTGAGAAATATCAAATCTGATTCCCCTAGTTAATG